GGCGGAAGATACCAAATGGATAGTCAAAATCATAAGTCAAAAACGAACTGATAAGGCCATGGCTAAAAACGAAAAATGACCAAAAAACAACATATACAACTAAAGATTTAGCAACATGAACCCCACCAAAACAAGGGGTAGTTTCGGATGTTCCTGAAGGGTAGGCATATCATGCTCCAATGTGGCACTCGTCGTGTTGCTCATGAGAGTACAAACCTGGTGATAAGTCTATTTCGGAAGGTCACATTTCAAGAAAAAGAGGACGGGATTTTAGCTACGATAATTGGAACATATTTATCGTCATCTGTGATACAGATACTCGATACCGGTAAACCAACTCGTGATGGCGTCCGTAAAATTTTCGAAGGGATGATTTCAACACTTGGAAATACAGAATCATGTTGCATGAAATAAACAAATTTACTTTTAAAGAAGAACTATGTAAAGTTGTTCAAGTTTAACCGTATAAATTACAGGTAACAATTGATTTCAGAATTTCGGACATATTTCTCCATAAAATTGGCAATAAATTCCTGTAACGTAGAAGAATTTTAAAGACTCTTACCTGTAGTTGCAGACATGATGTTATGTTCTATTCGACTGAATAAAACTTCTTATTTGGTTGCTGTATTTGGTTGACTGGGGTGGGGTAAATAATGGATATTTAATGACTAACCATTGTTTTGGTTTCTTTTTTTTTTGCTTTTTTTTTATAAAGTAAACCAGTCAAATGTAAATTTAATGAAAATTAAAAAAAATGATTATACGGTCTACTCTATAAACAATGTCAGACAACTCTCAATACCATATGTATATATTTGAACACCTGAAGTCTAGACATCTGGAATATATCTGTCGTCATCCGTGAAACAGATACTCCATAACGGTAAACCAACTCGTGATGGCGTCCGTAACATTTTCGAAGGGATGATTTCAACTTCAACACTTGGGAATCTTGGTTTAATAGATTCCTTGTGAGCAGTTACCCTCAATTAGGAAATCATGATAGGAAATGCAAGCAATATTGACCTGAATGACCAGCAAAATGTTATGGTCACTTGCTTTCATTTAGTTTTATATTTTCACAAAAAATGGAAATAATACCGTTCCTAAAATTTAGGCATGTCATAAGTATTAGAAAATTTAAGTCAAGATGAACAGATAGAACACGAGAAAATGTATCTTGTTTTTATTTGTCCTATGTTTGAGTACCCCGTATATTGGTGAACAATTGCGATATTTACAGTTTAGATAAAATATTTAAACATTACTTACTACAGGCCGAGATGAAACGTATAGCGGTCTTTGATTCCGTGCTGAGGCATTGACTCAGAAGCTTCAAATCAGTTGCCTCACTTAAATTGCGCCACTGACTTGTAACCAATGCATTTAAAGATGATTAAAGCTGCAATTTTGATGTTTTGAAAAATTTTCTCATTCAAAATTGGTAAGAAGGACATTATTAAACAAAAACAAAATTTATCGAAATTAAAGCTGTGCATTATTTTGTTTCAGATTCAAACTAATTCATTTTGATTTAGGATTTTCCTCGGCGCAATTTTTAAAAAAGAGAGACGAAAGTTACCAAAGTGATATTCAAGCTCATAATGCCAGGGTAAAAAAAAAACGAAAAACGATCAAAAGACAAAATAGAAACTGTCTACAAAACACAACATAGAAAACTAAAGACTGAGCAACACAAAACCAACCAAAAATCGGGGTTGATATCAGGTGCTTTGGAGGGGTAAGCCGATCCTGATCCACATGTGGCACACGTCTTTTGCTCAAATAAGTACAAACCCAGGAGAAAAGGACGGGATTGTGGTTACGACAATTGCAACATATGTGTCGTCATCTGTGAGACAGATATTCCATAACGGTCAACCAACTCGTGGTAGCATCCGTAGCATTTTCATTTGTGAAACAGATACTCCATAACGGTAAACCAACTTGTGATGGCGTCCGTTACATTTTCGAAAGAATGATTTCAACTTCAACACTTTTGATTTTTGGTTTAATAGCTTCCTTGTGAGCAGTAACCCTCAATTAGGAAATCATGATAGGAAATGCAAGCAATATTGACCTGAATGACCAGCAAAATGTTATGGTCACTTGCTTTCATTTAGTTTTATATTTTCAAAAAAAAAAAAGAAATAATACTGTTCCTAAAACTTAGGCATGTCAGGAGTATTAAGAAAATTTAAGTCAAGATGAACAGATAAAACACGAGAAAATGCATCTTGTTTTTTTTTTTTTTTTTTTTTTCTAGGTTTGAGTACCCCCGTATATTGGTGAACAATTGCGATATTTACTGTTTAAATAAAATACAAAATTGTCCCGTAGAAGGTTCGATAATTGTAGAAGATTTCCTTATTTTAATCAAATAGAATATTCATAATTAAAGACTATTCTTTACTTAGTATTCATACACAGAAAAATAAATTCTTTGAAATTTTATTTCAAAAATTTGTGTACTGCAAATTTCCTTGGTTGGGACGTTGAAGACCAAAAATTGCATATTTTAATTAAGCCATCGTCATCAATGTGGGGTTGATGGCTAAATTAATTTATAAAATACTATATCCTTCCGCTGGGGTTGGCCAACTGGAATTTCGGATCGGTACTAAAATGATTGGTATGATAGAGTATCGATGTTGTCTGTTTTCTACCAAGAATATGTTTTTAGATGTCTGCTAAAAAAAATGCATTTTAGTCTTTGCAATTGTATTGAATTTTGAGTCAGAACGAGAATTGAAATACTGGTAAGAACTAACAAAGAAACATTCCTGTCATATTGACTATGGTCTCTGAAAAAGAGCTGTTTTTAAAAAGAAAAAAATATATATGGATAAGGTCGAAGACGAACGCAAGGTGGCGATTAGAACTAATTTGACCAAATGAGCTTAAAAGTGGCCATAAATGAATTTTCAACCAGGAATCGTGTTAATGGTAAAATAAATAAAGAGTAAATCCTTTTAGATAAATGATTTTTATTTCATCCTTTGCACCTTGCATTTAAGCCGCACCAGGTTTTATTATCCTTGTCTTCTTGAATTACTAATCGTATTAAACATTGCTTACCAGATCGAGGAAGTCAAATTTTATTTCGTGTTTAAGTACTACGTAAACCAATTTAGAAGCAATACGGAAAAACATGTACTTATAATAATCAAACTTTTATTATTTGTCGAGAAAAGGAAGAACATGCACGAACCAGTCCATTTCAAATTAACACCGTCGACTAAATACCCTTAATGTATTACAAATATTTATTAAAAATACGTTTCAACTAATCCTGCTGTTATTGTGACGTGCAAGTGGGAGAAAAAGTGTTTTCTAAATTTGTAAAGCGACTGAAATCAAATTGAAAGTTTGGAGTTACCTTCCCTGATCATATGAGTTATTCAAATTAATACATTTTCTTCGGGTCTAAAACTTCAATCTGCAAAATCTGCTAGTCTGCGATTATTGCACTGATACAATCTTTGACAACAAAAATTGCGATCTGACTGTTTGTTTTGTTTAAACTCCGATTATACTAGTCGGTTGTACTGTGTGCTAACCATTAAAAGGCTTATGAAACTGATATTGTGAACATTATTTTTAATGACTTGAGTTAAAAGTGTTTTTTTCTATCATTCGCCTGGGAAAGCACGCCGCAACTCATTGAAATGCAGGATGATTTTATAAATGCACTTCAATAAATATATTTCAAATAGTGTAAATTATAAGAAATGTTGATAAATATAACTGAGACAGCAACCCCTCATCACAAAGAAATCGAAAGATATCTGGGACTCTATAAACAATGTCAGACAAGTTATTAACACAAAATGGACAAAAATAATTCGGACAACTGCTGTCGAGAATTCTACTTTTAAAGTATTATATTAAATTGTTTAAATCGATGTTAATTTTAATGCATTTTAAATACGCTTCCTTAAGATTAAATATTTTCACATCTCCTTTTCTTCGTATTTCAAATATGCTTCCTTTCTGTAATCTTGTCGTGTTTCCCTATTATTTTCTGCACTGCAATCATACAATGAATAATTATGAGTATTTCAACACAAGGATACGGAAAAATACTGTTCGTCATATTTGTGGGTTTTTTTCCATTAATTGTATGATACATTTTTTGTAAACTAATATTGGGAGTGACGAAAAGTGCTCATAATTTCTATTTCATGCACAGCAACATTAATATGACCTAATATGGCCTCATATGTCATTTAAAGTCATTACGTGTTACATCCGCAGAACTTTGTCCTCATTTCGGAAATTATGGGTTTGTAAAACCTTTTTTTGAGACAATGTTAACTTATTTTGAAATCTTTTCTTTGCTTTATCTCATTTGAATATTACATTATGGGGAATGATACCCTTCTGTCCAAAACTGAAACTGAACAGTCGATTTTCTCATTTTTTAAACATAATGCACTCATTAAGTCCTTAATTTATTATATTAACAGACGTCGCATAACTCTTTGGTATTGTATTAGGCACTACTGCGCCTTAGAAGGAAGGGCCATTTAATTATTTATTATTAATCTTCTTTGCAATTTATTTTTCAAATACCAATAGAAATTCTCTAGTATGCATTGTACTTTTATGCCAAACGTATTTTTTTCTGATTCCAAGAAAAGGTATAATTAAGCCACATTTCTTATACATAAACCATACAAGTATAATTAACAATTTTGCATTATAGTAATATACAGTATGTCTCGTTGTAAACAAAATAATCCCAGGTGAACACTCGCTGTATTGTATTAACTTATCAGTCATATGATAAAGCATATAGTAGCTTCCGTAACCATTTGTATTAATATTGTTCTGTAATGGTAAGATCATCTCAGTTTATTATTCTCAGAAATCTTACTTTTTATTATCCAATAGTAACAAATTATTGCCACTAAATGAAATATCTATTCAATCAGTAAATAAAAGGTAAACGTGCATGATTTGTCTATCATATTCAATATCTTGTATGCGATTCAATTTTAACGATAAATTAACACAATTACAGTATCGAGTAGGCATTTCACTGCACTATCCTCAGTGGACATCCATCAAGCTTGACTGGGCGGTTACATTTATAATTCATAATCTCTCAGTGTAGGCGATTGCTGCTGTACGTATATGGAGTTGTCTTTCATAAATTACTCTGTGAGAACCAAATAAGCGACGAAGAAAAAGAAAGACGGGGAAAACACAGAACTTCTTCTTTTCCGGAGAAAATAATACTAGTTTTAAAAAAGGATAAAAAAAATTATTTAGAAGAAAAATTCTGTTTTGGATACATCTGACTGTTAAAACAAGCTTTTAAGTTTCTGCGGATAAACATTTCTAACTAATTTACAGACTTTGCATCAAAAGGTAGGTTGCATGAACAAGTAGATGTTTGTATACTAAACTTGGTAAAATTGTAATATACTCATAGTAAATATTGTATTTACATGATCTGAAAACAAATTCTGATAACTATTAGATGTTAAATGAAGTTCTTAGACACAGCATTTCAGATAGATACATATTCAAGTGCAGTATGATGAAGTCTTTTTCGTGTCAATTAGAAGTTTATAGAATTCTGTCCATAAATATTTGAAGCAAATGAAATTAAATGCACTTTTTAGTCGACCAGGGATTCATTTGGTTTAAATTAATCGTATCGAATTCATTGTTAATGATTCAACAAATGTCTCTTGAGACGGAGAATATACTTAGAAATTCATAGTTCTTAAATTAATTGTTCTGGTCATTAGTATCACGGCGGAGCATAAACTAAATTTTAAAAGCTATGATTTTAAATAGCGTTTTTAGAATACCTTATTCATTTGCATAAAGCAAATTAATAGGTGGAGTATAATTACGGAATTCAATATTGGAATATTTAAAATTCGTGTAAAATCAGAATCAAATTGCAACTGTATAGGCATAGGTAGAGTAAAATTGGCAATTCAAATATCAGAATAAATTACGTTCCTTTAAAATCAGATTCAAGTTGCAGATTAATTTAATCGTTAAACTTTGACCTGTTTAATATTTAAGTAGTAGTTAATGCTAATTTCCTAAATTTAAATGGTAAAATAATAAACACGCAATTTACAGAAAAGTTGTTTTCTGTCGAACCTCCGTTTTCACAGATATTAATTGAAATTTTTGAATGATTAAACGGTTTTAGGGCTATTTGTATTGTTTACTTTTTTTTATTTAAAAGCTCCGATGAATTAAGTTTTAACACACAAATCTAAATCGTCGTATTTCCAGTAATGTTCCGGAAGTTCTAATGTAATGTTTTCATCTGATTTTTTTCTACATTTATCATCATTTTGTGGAGGTATGAAAGCTTTTATTTAAAGCTGACAAGAGATTATAAGTAGATCGATAGAAATAATGTTTTAGAGCTATGATTAGAATTAGTTTACGGTTACTAACTTACCATTCTCAAAAACAATTAGTAACTCCATATGGCGATAAAACTATTCTTCGAGCATTATCAGATCCTCGCCAATTATTCAATAAATTGTCATTTCTACTTTTCACCCTCAAGAACAGAAATATAAGAGATCGTTTTCACTGCCATTTGCTTGAGCAAGTAAATTATCTGCTCTTTGGTGTGAATTTGCCTTGCGGAAAGTTGTTCCTTCTAAATATTTAATTACGTTAAAGACATGGCTATTAACTTAAATTTACCTCATGAAATATTTAATAAACGGGATAATATTTACTGGTCTCAACTGAATAAGAGCGGGATATTAATTAATGAGAAATAATATTATCCTCTTTTCTGGCTGATCACACACAGCAACGTACATGTAGTACAACTATAGTTGCTAACAAATGAAAATGAGGTGTTTTTTGTGTGGAAGAATATGGATACCAAAAGACCAGTGAAGAATTGAATAAGTAATTTAAGATATTTATGACCAATTAGTTGGGGTCATGTTTTTGCAACTGAAATTAGGGATATACATATTTACGTTTTTAAGTTTTAATTTTACAAAACAACAATAGTGTGCATTTGTTATGAGCTCAGGGGATATGAAACAAGACAAAAAAAAAAGTATATACAAGAATGTTACTTTAAACCATGTATTTTATCTGCACTGTTTTTTTATAAGCATAAATAAGAAAAATAAACTTCACTGAAAACTTGGGGTATCGTATAATTTTCCATATTAGAAAAGTTTTATTTTATTTATTTTAGTTATCTGAATTTTAAATTGATACATATTTGTTTGATCTGAGCATAGATTCTATGCTCGAAGTTATGACGTGCTTCATTTTTGTGATGATTTATGAAGTACCAGCATTAGGAATAAAATAAACAATATTGATGATTATTGACATGGGTTTAAGAATATTTATTTATTGTCCTTTTTATTTTTTGGGTTATCATAAATGAAATTCTAGCAAATATTTTGAGTATAAAATTCTATTTTGAACTCTACTTAGTTTGGGGTATCTAATTTACAATTTAAATGCATATGTAAATACTGTAAAAGAGCAATATACTAGATTAAGTGCTGTAATGGTGGTATTGTAATATTCAGTATAACTGCTTTGAATATTTTATCTCTTGTTCAACCAAAAATGTATTTCAACGAAATCCTTGTAGCATATACTGAAAGAAAGGAAATGCAACACAGTTTTAAACAGTTTAAAATGATCCATTTAATAATAAATGCCAATTTTTTGTATAAAAAAATGTTTTGGTTTTTTTTTTCTAAGATTGCTACCCAATTGAAGTATGCCACACTTAAAATGATTGGTTACCTTGACGGGGGTATCAGCCAATATATGCAATATTCCCTGTGAACAAAACAAAGATCAGAAGGGAGATTAATGATAAAATCAGAGTACTCCAGTATAATTTTATTTTATTCGGGCTTTACATGGGATATGGACTAATATTCCATGTTTGTGTCCGATATGATATAAAATACTGCCAGGGAATATGTTTGACAAAACCAATATATACCTGGTGCGAATTTAATATATATTGAAAAAAGTGTACGTGTTAAAATCTCGAGCCTCAGCATCGATAAATTTCAAGAATGCTTTGTTCCTTTTTAGATCATTTACACAGCGGTCGACGATTTGATGTTCTTGTTTACTTCACCCCCTCCCTTTTACTCTTTTCAAAGTTTCCCGTAATATACGTCACTTAGGCAATTAAGAAACGTTTTAATGTAAGTGGGTGTAAGTCATTTGATTTCCAGTTTTTTTTTAAACATTTTTATTTGAATAGAGGGAGTATTGATGTATACGTCAATGAGAACCTCACGATACAAAAAAAAACAAAAGACATCTAGCGTGTATATAGTAGATCACAATGGAAATCGAAGATTTAAAAAAAATGTTGTAGTGTAGATATTTGCATACCAAGTTACAAATCATAGAACCCTCGGCTAACTATGCAATGAAATGGGGAAAAACAGCAATGACAGTGCTGTTCCTTTGAATTTTTTTTCTTTTCACGTGTGTGTAGTAGGTTTGTGTCATGAATTGATACAACATAATCCTTTCTTTTCCATTCGTAAGCTGAATATGCCATTCCTAGTCGGCATCACTTATTGTTGTAACAGTGCATAATATGTGATTGCATGCATTTGTATATCTATTCAAAGCTAGGAAGATGAAATAAACTTTTTAGTTGTCCATTATGGTTTTATCAGCTCTTTGACGTGTATTTTAGGTTTTGGATTTTCAAACATTTTTGATTCGAGCTTCGTTGAAGAGACATTACTTGTCGAACTGCGCATCTGGTGCATTAAAAGTTGTACCGTATACTAGTATGTAATTACACCAAAACATTACGTTTTGCTTAAATTATTTCTGACATTTATAGTTGACCTTCAGTCGGAAAATCAAGATCCGATATTGGGATTGGTTGCTGTCTGCTATAGTTGTTCACGATTGTTTTCTTTATCATTTTCAGTATACATCATGCCTTTTGAATTGTGTCACATTTTGTCATCCCGGAGATTTCAATAGCTTACTATATGGTAAGGGTTATTTTACTCATTGTTGAAGGCCGTACGGTGACATGTAGTTTTTCATATCATTGTCCTTTGGCCTTTAGTGGATAGTTGTCTCGTTGGTTATTATCTAACATCTTCTTATCAATTCAATGTTTATTGTATTACTATTCAGAGGATACGTACTATTGTCTAGTAGAACAGTAGTAACTAACCTATCTTAAGCATTAACTGAATTGGGAAGCCATATGACAGTTTGTGTTATGAACTGTGAGAGGGTTTGTAATTCCCCGATGTCTATGAAATACTAAGAAATACCAACTTTTTCAAGAACTTTATTTTTTATGTTGTTCTTCGACTGTACAGTTGCTTGACGGTTAACAAAATACCAAACAGACAATTTAAAATAATAATTAACTAATACCATATCAAAATCTTGAGAGAACAGAGGCGCCAGAGAAAGATAAAACACATGCTTATGGAGAGCGCATTTAGCTATTGGTTCATTTTACGTGAGCGCTTTTTGCTACACATAGTGTGGAAGTCTCTTTACATTTTGTTCATTGAGAAATTCGGAGTTGATGTAACATCTTTAATCGCCTCTGCTTGCATGCGCTCTCCATAAGCATGTGTTTTATCTTTCTCTAGCGCCTCTGTTCTCTCAAGATTTTGATATGGTATTAGTTAAAACAAAAACAGACAATACCATGGTCAAAAGGAAAACGACAAAAAGACAAACAACAGTCTATAAATTGCTACACATAGTGTGGATGTCTCTTTACATTTTGTTCATTGAGAAATTCGGAGTTGATGTAACATCTTTAATCGCCTCTGCTTGCAGTTTATACAAACCGACAAAAGCGCTCACGTAAAAAGAACCAATAGCTAAATGCGCTCTCCATAAGCATGTGTTTTATCTTTCTCTAGCGCCTCTGTTCTCTCAAGATTTTGATATGGTATTAGTTCTCAGACAACCTAGATTTTATCGTGAGCTGTGATTAACATTATTTATTAGGTTTGGTAAATTAATTATCTCTCCGTTCTAGGTTCGACTAACAGAATGTCAGATTACATTTCCATGCCTTCCTAGTAGAATTGATTGATCAAATACATCAAAAATGTATATAATTAGGTAAAAACTTAAGTGGTCGAAGATTATTTTGTTACTTTAAAAACAACAAACATTTGCGACCTCTTTTGATACTAACAGAAATAGGAGCGGTTTGTTTTGCTCAGGTTAGGATATAAATGTAATTATTATAAACTTTTTTGATATCTTTATTAAAATGTTTACCCTTGAATATTGCTATCCCAGTTGTAACTTCCATTTCAATGCAGTCATAATACACAGACTCAGTTCACGCAGAACATTGGAGATTTAATAGCAGTCGAATA